ACGCCAGCAGAACCCTTCCTCCGGATGCCACATACGACACCGCGCGCAAATCCCTTAAACGCCAGCTCATCAAGAGTCCGAGAAATGACCGCGAGAAGTGGTGGGTAGAGAAATGTAAAGAGATGGATAAGGCTGTGGCTACCGGCAATAGTCGCAATCTTTTCCGTCTAATTAGGAATACATGCCCCAGAAAAGTAGGCGTAAGTGAGGTAATTAAGGAATCTGATGGCACACTAATTCACGATCAGCAACGCCGTCTTGATCGATGGGCTGAACAATTCAAGGCTCAATTCAACTGGCCCCCATCGACATCTGATCATTCACCCTCCACCTTGACTAGGCAAATAGTGCCAGTTGATGCCATTGCTCCATCTGAAATGGAGGTTACCCGAGAAATAAGTTATCTCGAAAGGCATAAGGCTTCCGACCCCGATGGGCTGTCCCCATCCGTTTTTAAGAAAGGAGGTTTAGCCTTGGTTTTGGAGTTAACAAAACTCCTGGGCTCAGTGTGGGAGAGGGAACAGGTTCCAATGGAATGGTGTGAATCGGTCATCATACCGATCTACCAGAAAGTTGACAGATCCTCCTGTCAAAACCACAGAGGAATTAATTTAATCAACATTTCATCTAAACTTCTTGCTGGTATCATACTCCGTCGATTGTCTGCCGCACGTGAAAGGTGCGCGCGTGAGAACCAGGCTGATTTCAGACCTGGTCGAGGCTGTATTGACCACATCTTCACACTTCGTCAAATTCTAGAACATAGATAATCCTTTCTTAGACCCACCATTTCTATCTTCCTCGATCTGAAAGCGGCTTTCGACTCAGTCGACCGCTCTAAACTCTGGCGATGCCTTTCCCTGAAGGGAGTGCCCGAGAACTTAATCGCGTTATATCAATAGCCAAAGCCGAGTCCGAGCTCACTGCACGTTTTCACCCGAGTTCACCACGGAAAGTGGTCGACAGGGTTGCCCCCTCTCTCCGTCTCTGTTTAACCTCGTGATAGATTCAATTATTGAAACAGCCTATCGTGTCGATTTACTTCCAGGTGGCAGACTATCTGATCTAGAATATGCAGACGACATTGTGCTACTAAGTGAAGATCCAGGTACGTGGCAAGCTTTTCTGGATAGTTTGAGTGCCAGTGTATCCGTGTTCGGTATGCATTTTTCGCCTTCAAAGTGCAAAATGTTGCTCCAAGACTGGGCTGGACCAACACCGAGCCTCACTCTACCTGGGAAAGTAATAGAGCAAGTGAATAAGTTTTGTTACTTGGGCAGATGCATCTCACCCAGTGGTCGCTTCACAAATGAAGTGTCAGCTCACATATATATGGCTCGGTTGGCATCTGAAATCTGCGGCGCCTTCTCGAAATTCGGCTATATGTGAAGGGTCGAGTGTATGCTCTGGCAGTTCGGCCAGTTCTGCTAGACGCGCAGAAACTTGGCCATTAAGAAAAGAGGATGGTGTTTGAACACCGGTGTCTACGCAGCATTGCACGAATCTGGTGGGGCAGCCGGACGAACAATGCTGAGGTGAGGCATAGAGTTTTGGCAACCGCGATCGCCCACTGGAGCAAGTGCTCGACCTCCATAGATTACGTTGGTTGGGGTATGTGTTACGTATGTCACCAGATAGGTTGCCACGGCGAGCGATGTTCGCCGAGGCAGGTAGTGAGTGGAATAAAGTCA